AAACATTTACTAAGTATGCAAAAATACTTGATATACTTTCATCAAATATTAGGGGTGTTTTGAGATCGTCTGATGTATAGTATAAATGACGTACATGTGAAATTCAACCCCATTTGGTTTTCAAGTTGAAGCAGGAAAGGCTTGCTGATTAGAGAGATTCTAACAAATACGTACTTAATATTTATTAAGTAAGCTATGTGTCAGACACTGGGAATATTTGGGAGTGTATCTATGCATACACATGTGCACACATACACATATTTATATATATTTATAATAGTGTATGTGCGTGTAATTATTTTTTTAGCACCAGGCTCTGTGACACTAAGTTTCTACTTGTCTTTACTACATCAGAAGAAAATAACAAGACAAATTTTCATCAAGTTTCGAAAGTGTTTTGAGATAGTCTGAGCTACAGTACAAATTGTGTGGCACATGTCAAATGAACTCTCGAGGGGCCTTGGGAGACACCTCAAGATGTTTGAAAGGCAACCTCTAGAGCCCCGGAAATTGACGCAGGAGAGCCTTGTTCATTTGCAGACAGGGAAGGGTCCTCTGATGATTGAGATGTGCTGGGCAGAGAAAACAAACAACAAACAACAGTTTTAAATATTAGCCTCTAATTGAACCTCACAAGAGGAGACGATTTTAATTGCAGACATTAATTATCCTATGAACCGCTTCCCCCGTGGGCAACTCTATGCGGTGTGCTCCAGGGGGAGTAGCTGGGAGTTTAACAAGGGATCGTGACTGTCTCAAGTGATGCTGGGGAGGTCAGCAAGTAGCATTTTATGTACATGCCATATATTGTTATATTTATCTCTGTGTGCATGACACAGAGAATATCTGTATATTATATATGCATCATATATATTAGGTATGCATTAGTGAGTGTGTATAATACCCTGTCCTTCCTTCATTCTCCACTAACAGTCAGAGAATAACACCATTCATCCCATCCCAAACATATATTGAGCACTTGTTGTGTTCCAGACAGATAGATTAGGTTCCTGCAACCATGCCAGATCAATGCTGGTACATAGTAGATGCTCAATAAATGTTTATGAATGAATATATGTATGAATGAATAGTATATGAATACATAACACATACTAGGATGTTTGGATGTTGGGTGTCTATCACAGTGTGTACATCACTGTATTGTAGTTTCAGATTAATCTGAGCATATGGTATATTTCTTAGTGGATTTCTGCTGTATATACATCTATCTAAATAGTTTTATATCCTAATTTTCCCCACCTTACAAATTTATCTCCATGCTACAAGTCTCTAAAGAGAGCTAACAACAGAGAAGACCAAGCTCACATCTGGTCTCAAAACACAGCCCCATTTGCATGGAACAGCCCTCAGCCAACCCCGAGTGTTATTAGTCAGGTGTATTCGTTGTCCTCAGCCCACGTCCTGTTCCGTGGAGGGTGCAAGAAGGTCAGATGCCCAGGCCTGAGAGTGGGTACATCCTCTGTGCCCCCTTCTGTTTGTACATCCCCCTCCATGACTCCTGGAAAGGGGGGATCTCTGGCTGGAGCCTTGTTTTATCTGCCCCGGGGAGGAGACAGTTTGGGGCCCTGCATCCATTTAGCCTAATGACTTGGTCTCTGCAATCAGCAGACTCCATTTGGTTTTCGAGTTGAAGCAGGAAAGAAAGATTTGCTGATTGCTGATTACACAGACACTGCATTTCTCAAATCCCTCTCCTCGGGGTGTTCCCGCTGAGTGCGATGCGCATCCCTGGCAGATGGAGGATGGGATGCAGAGAGCAGGGCGCACGATGGAGGGTGAGGGGCGTTGGCAAGTCCTTGAGCTTGGTCCTTGGTTCACGTACTCCCGTCTGTTGACGGCTTTCTTGTTCTCACCTCTTCTCACTCTGTCTGGCTAACTCATCTCCTACGCTGCCCTTATTTTCCATCATGTCTTTTCTCTGCAGGATGGTGAAAAAACTTTCGAGCCAGAGTGCTGCATTCCAATCTCAGTGATGTGGGGACCAATCTGCCCCTTCTGAGGCTCCTCATTGTCCCCCAAGAGTTAAATGACAGCAGTGCCACTATTGGTCAAGGCTGTCCACTCTGCCAAACTCAGTTACTCCTCACATCGGCCTTATGAAGGAGGGTCTAATACTGCCCCATTTTACCAGTGAGACAACTGAGGATCAGAGAGGTTAAGTAACTTGCTGAAGGTCACACAGCAGTGCTGGGATTCGAGCCCAGGCAGCCGGGCTCCAGAGCCTACTTTCACTTTCCTGATATTATGGACTTGACTCATCTCAGGGCTCAATTTCCTCCACCCGCCTGCTTAGTCCCAGCCCAGAGCCACCCACCCCAGAGACCCAGGGCCTGCCTCTGTGCCTCTCCTCCACCCACCAGTGGAGGTTCCCTGAGGGCGTATGTAGACTTCAGAGCATTGCTGCTTCTACAAGACACTGACATGGGCAAGGTTCACCCAAACGAAACTGGGAGGGGACGTCTGTGCTTTTTCTCCTGTCTTGGAACCCAAGACCTGGATGCTCAACTCGGCTTTGTGATCCCCCAGCTGCATGACCTTGGATGGGTCATTTTGCTCGCTTTCCTCATCTCTCACCTGGGCAGGACATTCATTCAACCAATGTGTGTGGGATCCTTAGCACAGGCCTCAGACCTAGGGACCTCTGATAGGACCTAAGGCTGAGATCCAGATTTCTCAGCCTCTGTGTCTTACATGAGCCACGTCTCGTCTCCTGGGAGAAGGTGGCAGAATCCCAGGGATCATTGTCCTGGCCCACTAGGAAGGAGTTGAATGTGGGCAAATGCTCGTGTAAGCTGCTGGGATTTTGTACCCTGCCATTTCCCAGGTGCACGTATGAGCTGACATGCTGGTGTCCTGGGGTGAGCACCCCCTCTCTGTCCCTTGGTGTCCTTTATTTCCTCTGACAGCCCACTGGCCTCTTGCCTGGGGGCCCCGCCTCAGACCATCTCTCGCCTTGTCAGGACCGAGATGGCGATTTAGCAGTTGGCAGCTTCACTCGACCGCAATGTACCGCCCGCCCCCGCCCCTTCGCAGGCGACTCGGCTCCCTCCTCGCCGCCCCTCCCCTCCCCCGTCAGCTGGGCATGGCCCCAGGGCGGGCTCAGTCTTTGCCTGCTGGCTCTCTCTCTTTAAAATCAGAAAAGACTCAAAATTATTTGAAAAGCAGAGATTCACAGTAACGTGAGTAGACAAACGGATTTGCAGAGGAGAGCCGAACGTGTCCCTGCAGTGGGGAGCTGCCACGGCCCTCGCTGACTTCCTTTGGGACGTGCACTCACGGCCCCAGGAAGATCCCGAACTGGGAGCCAGGAAGACCGAGGCTCTGCTCCTTACTTGCCCTGAGTAGCCTCACCAGCCTTAGTGTCCTCCTCTACAAAATAAAGAAAAATGACTCCAGGGTCAGAGAGGGGCTATGAGCCATTCACGGTCATAGAGCCAGTGAGTTCAGCGGGGAGTTGGGAATTGCACTGATTTCTGACCCAAAAGTAAACTTTACATAATTAGAACCGCTTAAAAGAAAAATCCATCCATAACCACACTTCACCCCCATCCATAAATACTCTCAACTCTCCAAGCGTCTGTGTGTGTGTGTGTGTGTGTGTGTGTGTATGTGTGTGTATGTGTATGTATGTATGTTATTTGCAAAGATTCAGGCATGACGCTCCTCTGCTCTGTTCTGTTTGCTTCACATTAGTTCACAGAAGCATTCCACGCTGCCACGATTCTTATTTCTAATGTTAATGTCTGCCTAATAGCATCAAAGTGACACGCTGTGATTTCCCTAACCATTCCCAATTGCTCGGTGATGAGGCAGCTTTCAGCTCCCTGCCGTCAGCAGCGCTGCTGCAAGCATCCTTGGATACAGAGCTGTGCTCTGCCTTTTGATTTAGCCCCTTAATCCCCCAGAAGATGGGATTCCGGGTTTAACCCAGAATTTCAGACTCAGCACTATTGACATTTGGGCCAGGTAATTCTTTGTGATAGGGGCTGTCCTATTTATTGTAGTATGTTGAGCAATATCCTTGGCCTCTACCCACTAGATGCCAGTGGTATTCCCCCAAGTTGTGACAACCAAAAATGTCTCCAGACATCACCAAATGTCCCCTGGGTGAAATTACCGTCAGTTGACAGTCATTACATTAAAGGGCAGGGGTGTATGGAATTGGTTGCAAATGCAAGTCAGAGACTTTCCTGAGTCTAGACAAAGTCCAATTAGGGCAGGACCAGAGAGTACTGAGCACTGAGGATGAGCACTAAGAGGGAGTCAGATGTACTGAGCTCGGGGTCCGGCACTGCCACGAAGTCTTCACTTCTCAATGCCTCAGTTCCTCATCTGTGAAATGGGAGCAAGAACAGTCACTCACCTGCCAAGCTTGGGAGGGTGTAAGTGAAGTCACGAGCGTAAAACATTCAACAGCGCTGGCCACAGAAAACACCCGATAAATTCCCGTCGTCTTTGCCTGCTCCAGTGGGAGCCCCACAGGGGCTTCCATCTTTGCCTTTGTTGTTGAGAAGAGAAAGGTGGGGTGCAGATTGAAAGGAAACCATTCTTGTTTCTGCCCTCCCCCAACCTCCTGCACCAGATCCATCCTGGGGGCTCCGCTTCCGAAACCAGCTTCTGTGACCTTTCTTGGCTTATACGTTTACTTATCCACCCAAGATGGGCCAGGCACTCACTGTGTGCCCCAGCATAGTGGTGCAGACTCAGAGCGTGGTCCTCAGGTTGGACACTGGGTGCAGCACCCCCTGCACGGGTGAGCAAGCTCTGTGTCCCTGGGCCGTGCCCTGGAACATCCATTCCCTCCTCTATAAAACGCGGAGCATCTGGCTAAAGGTCTGATAAACCTATCTGCAGAGAGAGCCCCCCGTGGAACTCACTGGGCATCTGGTGCTGCCCAGAGTGCGTCCCCAGGGAATGTGTGGGCAGGTGGGTGGGGCTCTTGTCCAAGGCCAACGTGTGCCTGTGATGTCTGTCTCCAGGAGACGTATGTAGAGGAGCTCGCGGCCGTGAGGCAGACCCTCCAGACAGACCTAGAGACGTCCATCCGTCGGATCGCTGACCTGCAGGCGGCCTTGGAAGAGGTGGTGTCCAGTGACAGTGACTCGGAGAGGTAACTGCCAAGGAACCGGGTGGGGCTGCGACAGCACGTGGGCTGCACCCTGGGGAGCTCTGCGGGTCTTTAGCCAGGCTGGGGGGCCACCTCTGTCGGGAAACCCACAGGCATTCTGCAGACGGAGGGATCCCCGGCTTGCCTGGGTGAGGAGAGATGGGTACCCCTCCTTGGTACGGCTGAAACCACCTGGCCCAGCTCGCCAGGCCTTCGGCAAGGCAGCGTGGCTGGAACGTGGACTCCAGTGTGTGATACTGGGCAAGTGCATGTCCAATCTTGGCCTAATTCCCTCATCTGCAAAGTGGACATAATAATCTTGGCATGAACCTCATGAAATTGCTAAGATTTGACCGTTTTTGACCTACAGACTGGAGGTTTCATATTTTCAACCCACTGCCTACCTCATAGGGCTGTTAGTGAGGGTTAATTGAGTTCACGGATGACTGTCACTCAGAACAGCGCTGGAGTATGTAAGTGTGTATAAGTGAAAGCTACGTTTGTACAGAGTAATGAGCATTATTTTACAAAAGCAATGGGTGATTCAAGGATGCAATGTTCGGCTAGTGATTGGTGAGATCACCTAGGTCTAACGTCAGGACTCCTCACCTTTCCCAGAAGATATGCTCTTCCTACCGTCTCCACTCAAGTCCCAAGCTGCCACAGGCCTCAGGTGGGCTGCCGAGCTGGAAGGAGTTGGAGGTGACCTAGCTGGGCACATGGGCCCACGCTGTCCAGCCTCTACAGATGCCCAAAGCATCCTGTTCCCAGGAGCTGCCTTTGTAGCCTTGGCTTGTTGCTTCTCTGGGAGCCACAGCCTTGCCGTGGCATCTCTGCCCTCATCCCAGCCTCTATAGCTAAGCCTGGGCAGCAGGGAAGACATTTTCTTTACATAGCTTTGCAATAAGGAACCTGCAGGTGCAGTTACCACCCAATGCCTACAAGCTGCCTCTGCACACACCTGAGTGGGCCAGATTGGAAGCCAGTTTTTCCTGGTCTTCGTCTCTGTGAAGGCTGGTTTATGCTGCAGCCAGAACAGTCAAATGTCAGATCTTAGCGTGCAGCCCTCTCTGTTTCTACATGAGGACCCTGACCTCGGGGAAGTTCAAGGTCGCACAGCAAATTTGCATCGTACGCTGAGTTAGCACCCAGGTCTGCTGAGTTTCCTACCCAGCCCTTTGCCACACACAGCCCTATTAACAGATGATGCCAGGGGGCAGCTGCTAACAAGCAGAGGGCTGGCACCCGGGTTTGTTGAATTGCTGAGAAAGAGAGAGGGAGAAGAGCCCAGAAATGGCCCCGCCTTTATGGAACTCACATGCTGCTGGGTTTATATGCGTGTCTGTGTGTCCATGAATAAACTGAACAGCTCTTGTTTAGCCAGGGGGAAGAACCAGACATCTATATATTGACTATGTTAGAGTCAACCGTGCCTAGTCAAGGGAAAAAAAGAAAAAATGCTGGAAGGAAACACACCAACATTCTAACACTGAGGGAAAGTGTTACGGGTGACAACTTTTTTTTTTCCAGTTTATTTATATTTTATAAAATCTGTGCAATGAACATGCACACACATCTATGGCTGTCCTAGTGCCCTCTTTAGGAGATTTTGCCCATATTAGTTGTGTACTTTATGCGCATCTAATTTTAGAATGTGCATACCCTCCTCCCTTGATGCAGTCCTGGGCTGGTCGTAGCTGCTCACTGATTTGTAACGTTGGACTCTCCGGCAAACATGTTCATGCTCAGCAACAGCAAAATGAAGACCCAGTGGACTCTAAAACACCATGTTCTTGCCTCTACATAAAGGGCTTTATCTAAAAAATCTTCAGTTTGTGCAAAAGTGTCTTCCGTGCACATTCCAAGTATCCCCACCCTTCCCTGCTAATTTGCACAGTTGCCAAACTGCTGGTGAAAGGGCAGGTCCTGATGTTGCAGCTGCCTCCTAACTCATCGTTGCATTTAAGGACCCCCTCTCTGCCACCTTCTCCTCCTGTTTTATTAGTGTCATGGCAGAACTTACAGTAATTACAAACCCCTTTTGTCAATATTACTTATTTGATGTTTAGACTGGTTTTTTCCATTCATAGAAATAACAGATCTTTTCCATTAATTATAATGGGGATGAATGGCTGTAGGTGTTAATACCTTTGGGCAATGAACAGCATCTTTGAAACATTTTCAGTTGCATAGCAAGAGATTGCTTTTCTAATAAACAATGAAAGTTAAAAAAAATAAGAACCTTGGAAAGAGGCAGAGGGTCCATACCTGGAGGGATGGGTGACGGGCTGGGAAGAAAGGGGTGACAGGAAGCAAGGAACAGACCTCTCACTGGGAGAATGAGCTCCTGGAGGTCAGAGAGGGTCACAGACATCCCTCCAGTCTCTGCTTACAGAGAAGCCTCTCTGGCCTTAAAGGGGCCCTGCCCTCACCCTCACCCTAATAGGAAACACCTTTATTTGTCTCTGTTTCAGGCGACAAGACTCATATTCATCCTCTGTTCTGATCCACCTTTTCTAGGCTCCAGGCCCTAGACACCCAGGAATCCAATCTGAATGCCTTAAGTCTTCCTCCCTGCTGGATCTCCAGTTTGCACACAGCACCTGACTCATAGTTGGAAGGGACCTCACCTACCTTTCAGGGTTGCTTTGAGAAGTGAAATGACTCCAGACCGCCAGGTCTAAGGAAATGCATCCTGTACCTGGAAAAATCCCATGCGTAGGATGATTGCATTGGAAGTAGGGGAAGAATCAGAGAGGGCACAGGTTCTGCATTTCAACAAGCCTGATGGCCAGTTAGGGATCCAGTGGTTGACTTCTGCATGACCGTGAGCAAGTTATTCAACCTCTCTGAGCCTCAGTCTCTTCATCTGTAAGATGGGTTAGTAATAAGAAGTGAAAAAAAATGACTTCCTAGTATAGTACATTGCACGTAGTAGAGGCTCAACAGTTGCCAGTTGCATTCATTCATTTGTTTGATAAATTCTTACTGAGCACCTATTCCATGCCGGACACTGTGTTAGGTGTTTGTGTTATTCCACTTGCTTCTTGTTATCATTGTGCTCCGTCTTACAGATAAAGAGAGGTCGAACAACTTGCCTGAAGTCAGGCAGAAGTTAACATTCGGAGCTGTGGCTGGAGCCCAGGTTTGCTGAATTGCTGAGGAATAGAGGGGGAGATGGGCCCAGGAATGGCCCTGCCTTTATGGAACCTGCATCCTGACGGGTGTGTGTGCGTGTGTGTGTGTGTGTGTGTGAATAACGTGAACACACTGACAAATAAAACACGAGAATGCAACCAGAGTTATGAAGGCAGAGAACGTGGTGCTGCCACGAATAGCAGGCCAGGTGGACGTGCCCCTCTGGGAGGAAGGTGCTGGAATTGAGACCTGCATGAGAAGAAGGAACCAGCCCTGGGAAGATCTGGAGAAAGGGAGTGAGCTCAGAGAGGGGCACGTTCTAGAAAGTCAAAGACCAGTGCCCCCGAGTTAACAAGAGAGAAATGACTGTCTTTCTCTCCTTTCCTCTTTCTCATTCCCACCTTCCTCCCCTTCCTCCTTCCCTCTCTCCTACCTTGATCCTCTGCTGGAAATGACCCACAGAAATGAACCGAGACCCCCAGTTTCTTCAAGTGTCCCAGAGCCCCAGGCAGGATGGGCTACATCATTTGTGGGGTCCAGTGTGAAGTGGAAAAACGTGGGACTCCTTGTTCTAACGTTATTAAAAATTTCAAGGCCGGGCGCGGTGGCTCACACCTGTAATCCTAGCACTCTGGGAGGCCGAGGCGGGCGGATTGTTTGAGCTCAGGAGTTCGAAACCAGCCTGAGCAAGAGCGAGACCCCGTCTCTACTAAAAATATACAAAAAAAATTATCTGGACAACTAAAAATATACAAAAAAAAAATTAGCTGGGCATGGTGGCGCATGCCTGTAGTCCCAGCTACTCGGGAGGCTGAGGCAGGAGGATCGCTTGGGTCCAGGAGTGTGAGGTTGCTGTGAGCTAGGCTGACGCCATGGCACTCACTCTAGCTAGGGAAATAGAGTGAGACTCTGTCTCAAAAAAAAAAAAATCTCAGGATGGTGACCAAAGAGCTTTAGACCAAGCACGAGCCTTTCTGGGCCTGGGTCTCAAGCCCCTGAAGCCCGCCCTGACCCCAGGGTGGTTCTTGGGGAGCATGTCCTAGTTTTCAGCAGGCCTTGATCCTACCACACTGCCTTGTAACTTGGATTTGAGATGGAAACACAGCATACATTTCAGTAATATCACAGGAATGTGAAAACTGGGAAGAAATTGCCCACAGAGAAGCCACAACACATTTTCGAAGAACGGGTGTTGTGCAAAGCACGTTCTCTGGTCGCGGTGCAATTTAATTGGTTATCAACCATAAAAAGAAGTATACGTGTTGCTAGGTTGTAAATCCACCGTCCAGAGCAGAACCCCCAGCTCCTGCCCTGGTCCCAGCCTGTATCCTCCCCGCGAGCTGCCAGCCCCACGTTGCTCTTCTCTCCTCATTATCTCCCCTCCTGGGACAGGAGGTTTGCATTGGAGCCTGAAGGGTCGGTCTTCGGTACTCCTCCAAACTGAGTTCTCAGTTAGGATTCAAACCTACCCCAGCCAGGAGAGAGGAAGGTGAAGAAAGAGAGAGAGAGAGAGAGAGAGAGAGAGAGAGAGAGAGAGGCTTCAGCTGCAGGTGAGGTTCTTTGAGAGACTCGTTCAAATTACAAAAAGTCACATTTCCCCGTGTCGGGAATTAGAGCTGAGTGTAACAGGCCTTCCAGGCTGGAAACGCGGCTACGTGCTCGGAGAGCCAGGTGGCCTATGCGGCAGCATTTAAATGTGTGCTCTCCTGCACTCGGGCCCTGCGTGGTAACTTGGACTGTGGCATCAACCTCCTTAGATTAATGGAGAAATGCTTTAAGCTGCTCCCCCAGGCCTGGAGCACAGTCATTACTCATAGAGGGAGGGATGTGAGGGCTGACAGAGAGCTCCATCTATTGCTGGCCCAGAGGCTGCAGCTGTTCCGTCTGTCGCCTTGGCTGGGGGTGGCGAGGGTTGGGTGGGATGTGGAGAGGTCAACAGATGACCCTTGACTCCTGGGTCAGCTGAAAGTGCACCTGTTAGCTGGCCCAATCCGAGACGAGTGCTCTGGACAAGAGTCCCCTGTTGCCGTATTGTATAAGTTGGATGTTTTCCAACATACATCCTTTTATAACCTGGCTAAAATTAGGCTGCTGGAGGACACGTAGAAAGATCTGGGTCTAGCCAAAGATTGTGGTTGCCATGGAGGGCGTACTTCTGAGTTAATTTATTCAGTGGTGGGCCCAGGCTCTGGCCAGACTGGAAAGTTTCCTGCTGTGTAGTAGGACATTCTTTGGAACTGCCAACTGCTCTTTTCCTACAAGTCTTCTAGTTTGTCCCTCATGGGTGATAAGCGTGCTCCAGGCCTGGGAGGACACCTTAAAGCATTTCTCCGTGAACCCAAGAAGGCCGATGCCGCAGTCTAGGTTACAATGCAGGGCTTTAGTGCAGTATAGCAGCTGTTTAAATGATGCTGCACAGGCTTTCTGAGCATATTTCTAGCCCAGATACCCAGCGAATGGGGTTCATAGGGAGTCAGGGGTCCAAACTACCTTATCTATTCTGGCATTACAGGAAATAATGATGACCGTAATAATAGGTACCCTTTCTTGAGTACTACCTTTTTGGCATACATCATCCTCATAACAACTCTCTGAGGTTATCATTCCCATTTGCAGATGAGGAAACCAGGACTTAGAGAAGTCAAGAAACTTACCCCAACCCACACAGTAAGTGATGGAGCCACGGTCTCATTCCAGGGTATCCCATCACCCACACTTCTAACGATCAAGCTCTGCTGTCGTGTCGAATGTACCCCTACTTCCTCCTTTCCCTTGTCAAGGTCTCTGCTCTCTGCCCAGTAATTGGCCTGTCATTATGGTGAACTTGTGTCTGTCACTCAGAGATGGGGCCGAAAATGAGTTTATGTTACTGCCCAGGCAGTCTTTGCGCTTAGACTGGAGTTGTATGGCAAAGACCCCCCCTAAAGGAACACATCTGAAGACATTTAATTAATTATCTTGCTCATCATTAATTGCCCTTTTACAAATTCCTGGCACAAGTTCTTTTTTAAAAAAGCCACTTGCGCCAAGGTGAGAGAACCACTGACCACATGGCAAGAGATGAGGGTTCCAGGTGGAGCCGTGCCGCCAAATGGATCAGGACCATGGACAGCTCACCTGCCCTTCCCAGCCTCTGCTTGCCTACTCAACAAATAAGGATCAGGGGCACCTTCTGTGTCAGGACAGCAGGTTCAGTAGGGAACAGGCAGACACGGACCTGCCTCGTGGAGCTTTTAGCACGGAGGTTCATTCTTCACGTGGTGAAAGGGTCAATGGGTTTCAAACTCCCTCCTTATAATAGAACTCCCCCCGCTTTTTTTACACCAAAGTGAACTCTTATAGAAAATTCTAGGTTTGGATGGAGTGCAGCCATTCTCTGATTGGAGTAAGAGAGGAAGGTTTGGAGCTAAGCCCTCCTCCTATGGCTCTCTTCCTGACCCCTTGGTAGTCCCCATGGGGTCTCCCAGAACTTGAAAGCTCCACGTACCATGGCCTACAAACTCCAGTACCTGCCAGGACCGAACACCCTTGACTTGTATAAAGTCAACATGATGGTTATTTCTACCCATCCTGTTTAATGCTCCTCAAGGGCAGACAGAACAAAATTCCCTCTGCTTCTGCCTGAAAGCCTTTCCTTACCGCCTGCCCTCAAGACTTTGTTCCAGACCAGCTCAGGTTAAAGGTGTTAGATGCCTTCAGCATTTGCTCATACAATAAACGTGGGATATACTTTTCAGAAACTCTTCTCAGTCCAGCCCCTTTATTTTAAACATACTCTATTTTGTTGAGACCTTCCCAAATGGTGGGTAGTGTGTGGTCCAGGCTAGATACCAACGTTGTTCAGGACAGTATTTCATCACGAGTGAACAAACAGACAGACCACCTGGCAGGTCTTGACTTCAGCCTTAGAAGTTCGGCACAAATTCAGCAAAACACGTTCATGGGCAGAAGCAACGAGTGCACAGATACTATAAAATGTAGGATTAATAAGCATGCATACCTGCATATTTTCATTTGTCCTCGTGGCTCGTTCTTTTCCAGAGTCACAAGCTTAGGAGGGAGTGATAATGATGGCTGATAATCTTATATTCTTATAGGATTACCTCTTTAGATTCTTCACCATTTTTTCTTACACAGTGATAAAGGGTGTGACTGTAGTTAACAGTGCAGTGTTGAGTCATGCCTGATGCCTTCTTGTTCAACACACAAAATGTTGGCCTGGCAAACACAGATCTTCCTGTTAGTGTGGAAACAGCATGGAGATCAGCTATTATAATGGAGTCTGGCTGGAACAGGAAGGCAAACTCCAAATGAAGAGCTTAGCAAAGGGATGATTTACAAAGGTGTGGGCATGGCATGGGGAAGCCCCAAGGGAGCTGCACCCAGGGATGCAGCACCCAAGGGTGCAGCACCCAGGGATAGACAGGGACAACTAGGAGCAATAACTGTGGCTGGGCTGACAAGGGTGCATTTGTTGGACTGGGGAGAGGAGGAGGAAGGGGGAGAGAGAGAGAGAGAGAGAGAGGGAGAAAGAGAGAGAGCTGTCCATCAGGCAGAGTTCTGGCTTCTGGTTGAGGGATGGAGCCAACCCAAGAAGAGGCAGTAGAGAGCAATCCAGAAATCTAGGACAGTGAATACTCCAGCCTCCTACTCTTCGCTCCTTCCCATCAGCTGCCAGCTGGGTTCCCTGGTCGTTGAGCCCAAGGAGAAGCCATGGAGACAGGGAGCCCATTGATGTAGTCCATACAGATCAGCCCCTGGGCACAGGGCAGGTGGAGAGCTAGAGCCAGCATGGAGGAGTGGAGAGAAGATGCCTGGTACAGTTGGACACCATGAAGTGAATGAGTCTCTAGTGCTGGGGAAAGAGCCCTTTAGAAGGGGGAAAATCTGAATGCTGAGGCCACCCCTGGGGCTCATATTCATGGAGTTGGTTAGGGTAAATAGTGGGCAAGAATGACCAGCGTGTGCTTTGATTAGTTATTGGGCTGTAAAGACATTCCTGTGTTCTGGGGTCAAGCAAACATTGAGGTTTAGTAAAAGTATGTGAAGAAGTATTCAAAATGTAAATGAGCAAGTGTGACTGCCTTCCAATAAAATTTTTGCCATGTAAGGAAACATAGTCCTAAGTTCTTGGGATGAGGGGTTAGGATGTGGACATCTTTGGGAGCCATTATTCTGTATCCCACAAAGTCATTCACAAAAGGTGCTTTTGTTTCTGTTGCAGAGTCTTTCTCTCTAAAAGCCCTGTTAGCAAATATTTAGCCTTTTGGAGCCACATGGGTTTTGTCGCAACTACTCTACTCTGTTGTTGTAGTACAAAAGCAGCTAATCTTTATTTATAAAAAATAGGTGGTAGGCTAGATTTAGCCCATGGTTATAATTTACTGACCCCTCTTCTATTGGATTTGCCAAGCATTGTCTGAGAACTTCTGATCTGGCTGGCTTAGCCCTGGTGCCCAATGATGACTGACACATGTTCTTGGCCCAGGATGGGTGTTGCAGTCTGGTGGAGACAGATGCATGGAAATAGAAGCCCCTGAGGGTGACAGGTCTTTGAGGATGGGGGCCAAGGAACAGAAGGTGTATCCCTCAGAGAAAGCAACCAGGTCTTCCGAGGAAGGAATTGCCCGAATTCTAGCAGAGACTAAAGCTGTGAGGTCCCAGCCTGAAGACCCAGGATTGAAATGATATCTTAGGGACCTGAGATTTATGGTTTGGCTGTCTGCACTCACACACTGGGAAATTCCACACCGCTTAGGAGCATGAGTCTGGGATTCAAAGCTGCATGACTTTAGACAAGGGCGTCAGGTTCCTTATCTGTAAAACGGAGACACATGGAGTGGGTAGGTGAAATTGTGTGTATAGCGTATTTGTTGAATGAAGGAATGATTTCTAAAGAATAGCTACTGTTGTAATTAGTTTCAGAGTTTCCCACAATGCCCTGGGAAGCTACCCTGCCCTATGACTGATTTGCTAACACTCACAAAAACATAAAGCAAATGCCTTGCTTGTCAGCAATAGCAATGCAATAGCTATTTATTAATAAATAATAGCAGCACTAGTTGTACTAAAACAAGAGTAGCGGTAATGGTTGCTACCATTTAATTAGCACTATCTATTTGCCAGAAACCATGCTGAGATCTTTACAAGGGTTATGTCACTTACTCCACTCCACAACTCTGGAGGCAGGGCCCCATCGTTAGCCACATTTTATAAAGGAGGACAGGAGGCTCAGAGAAAGCAAGTGACTTCCCTAAGAACACGCAGTGGCAAAGGTCACAAGTGGGGCTCAAACCCAAGTCTGTCTACTGTGGACACCACGTCCCCCTGCCCCTGGCAGCACAAGGGTAACGGATTCTTCCTTGTGCTTCTTTCCAGTGTCCAGACAGCAGTAGACTGTGGCAGTGGTGGCCGAAAAGAGATGTAAGTTAACCCCAAGTGGAACTGAGCAGCTTACAAGGGTGAGCCCTGGCTCTCTGTGTCCAGTTTGCAAAGGGAACATCCACACTCGCTTGGAGAATTTTCAGCAATTCTCACGAGACCTCTACCTCTGTCTTTTGTAACATAGAGCACTAGGGACATGTGACTGAACTTCCCAGCTCCTTTTGAGAGAAGCTTGTGCCTTATCATGACGCTGTCCTCAAACACCTTCCATAACTCCCCATTGCTCCAGAATAGTCTTTTCACACTGACATTTGTGTCCTGCCCGTGGTGACCCTTACTTCTCTCTCCAACTGGGATTCCTACTTTCTATATTGCTTATGCTCCGATCTTTACGACTTCCAAACCTATGCGCATGCTGTTCCTTCCACCTAAAATTCCTTTCTTTGGTCCCTGCGTGGCCAAGCCCTAACCTTCCGAGAAGGTGTAGCTCAACTTCCACTGCTTGATGCCTTCCCTTATGCCTTCGAGAAGCAATTCGAGGCTCCCTCCTATTACCCATAGAACCTACCTCCTGCCTCTCTCCATAGCATTAACAATTTCTCCCTTATTTTATGGTTATTTCTATAGATGGAGTCTTGAAGACAGGATCAATGTTAATTTAAGTTCTTGTGTACAGTTCACCTCCCCTGATGCCTGGCATACATAGAGTATCCTAGAAAAAAACAAACATGCATATACATACATGTACTCATATATAAATGTAAATATATAAATACACACACACATATATATAATGCTGAGTGAGTACATGAACCAGAAGATAATTACTGACTACCCACCTGGGCTTCTCCTTCTCTCCCTGTGCTGCTTTCAGGGAGTAAAGTCCCTGTTTACAAAGATATTCCAGGAGAAAGGAATTAAGACCTTCACACTTGACGTATTCCATGAACATACCATTTGCTATAAAATTCAATGCCAAGTTTTACCCCCAAATTGGAGAGGCCTTTAGGCAGTCACTCACTCCCCAAGGAAGCGTGCAGTGGTTAACAGCATGGGCATCGGAATAAAAAAGAACAAGGTTTTCATCCCAGCTTCAACACTGACCAGCTGGGCGACCTTGTCCAAGACCCCAGTTGGCCTCTCCAAATCCTGGTATTCCCATCTGTATAATGGGGCAGCACAGAGCTCCCACCTCTCAGGGATGGTGAGTGAAGTTAAGCGAGTAGAGCGCTTGGTGGTACGATGCCTGGCCTAGGATGGGGTGGATATCTAATCGCCGGTGCTGCGGCTGTCGTGGTGTTGACAGTGCCCTGCATTCTGGTTCTAGGGATAACGTCTCCATCCTCAGCTCCCAGCCCGAGGGCAGCCTGCAGTCCTGGCGGAGCTGTACTCTGTCGCTGGCCACAGACGCCGTGAGGACCCCCTCTCGACAGTCGGCCTCCAGTAGTCACATCCGCGGCCCCAGGTGAGAGCCTCTTTCTGCTGCCTCCGGATCGCCGGTGGCTGGAAGAATCTCAGAATTGGCCGGTGGCCGTGCAAGTCCTTCGTTTTCGCTGGCCCAGGCAGGGAGCTAGTGCGGACCTGGCAGTTCGAGGTGTGACCCTGCCGCTTCCCGGCACTGTGACTTTAGGCAGGTCACGTGCTGTCTCTGAGTCTCCGCTTTCTCATCTGCAGAACATGAAATATAATTATATCTACTGACCCAAATGGTTAAAGTGATGACGATCTCATACAGTCCTTCCAAAGCGTAATTTTCCAGATGACTTTAGGTAACACAGGGTGAACATTTTTAAAAAAATAATAGTTATTATAGTTGCCTTCTATTGAAGGAAAGTCAATCTAGTCTTCCATTTATGGATAGTAACAAGTTTAGAATTTTCTTTATAAATATATTCACTTAAGTTTTTTTTTTTTTTAAGTGGGGAGTCATTAAAAAGAAAGTTAGGCTGGAAGATCTCTTATTTGGAGATTTTAGCTTTATTTGATTTTTAGCTTTATGTAATTTTGTAATTTCTCTACCAAAGAGGGAGACAAATTCCATCACGGCCTGAGACGGGACTCTCACAGATCTGCAGGATTCTGGCAATAGGTTGCCCCAAAAAACGGGCCTTGGGATGCATCCTTAGTTGCGTGACTTACATCCATCTTCCCACGTGCTCTTTCAGCTTCATGTCTCTGAGCTCACTTGGTTTTCCTTTTCAAGGGCGGTCCTCTTGTAATTAGGAGTTAATGGCCATAAATCAGAAATTATGGATTAAGCAGATGCGTAATTAAGATGAAATGCACACTGCCTGTGTGATAACAGAAGGACCAGATAAGATGGAAAGGAAAAAAACCACGGACCAGCGGAGCAAACCCAGACAACCCCTTCCTGACTCGAAGCGTGTTTGCTCTGAAGCAGGGGTTGTCTCTGCAGGAGGAAGGGGTGGGAGTTCGTGCTAACCTTTTGGGCATATTTGGCAAATGGCAAATGTCTGGCGCGTGTCTGCAGATGATCTTAGGCTGAAAGATTTGGTGTTGAAAATATCAAACACAGGCCCCAAGAATGGGGTTCATCTGGGGAGTTCATTAAAGCAAGATTATCCGCTTGCGGCTCTTAATTAAAAACAAAGGTCTGTGTGAAGAAAGCATCATGTCCTCTGTGCACCCCAAATGACGAGGACTTTTTCTCTTCTGATAACTAAATATCTTTATATTTCCTGGTCTGCCAGTGGCAGCAGCAGAACTGGAGGCGGCCAGAGCAGAACGTGAATGCGCGTTAACATAATATCCACGTTTCAGTTAGAATAATATTAGGGTGCGTGATAAGCATCCTTAACCTAACGAATTGTACCGCAAGTTGTGTGGCACCTGTTCGAATGGAGATGAGCGGTGGTTTCAGTGCATGATCTGAAGTTGGAGGGTGTGGATTGCAATCCTTTATTTGCATATCTGGAGCTGTGAGATTTCGGGCAAGTTGCTTAACTTCTCTGTTGGTGTTTTCTCATGAGCAAATCAGAGTTGGTGTCAGGGGTAATGTGTTTATGATACACAAGTTGTTCTTCGCTCAGAGCCTGGTACCTAGAAATAGCTCAAAAAAATTAGCTGCTTTATCTGCATTAGTATCTGTTTGATGCCCAGAGGAATCCCAGGAGACAGATGTCATTACCTGTGTGTTACAGAAGAGGAATTAGAGACCCGGAGAAGGGGGAGAGATTGATCCATGCATAGATGGTCTTACCCAAGTTCCTGCAGCTGCCCCTCAGGCAGGGTGGGGCTTCAGCACCCCAGGCAGCCCCCTCCAGGGTCTATCCCTCCTCTCCCTACCCTCTCCGCTTCCAAGTCCTCGGGCATGTACAGCTGTAGTTCAGAGTGAAAGTAGGAAGTAAGGCAGATACACATTTGTAAGAAGGGACTCCTTGTCTGTCTTCTTCACATCTGTGTCACCAGGGCTGGTTCACAGTTCGTGCCCAATAAACGTTTGGTGAGTGAATAACTGACCATATAGCAACAAAGCTTAAGCGGAAATATTGACTGTATTTAGTCACAGCTCAACATTGACTCTGGCTCAGAGAGGGTTGGTAATTCATTCAGTGTCACACAGTAGGTAAGTGGAAGAACCAGGATTTGAACATAGGTTCCAATCCCTTTAAAACCTCTCTTTGTTTTTGTTATACTACCATGGCTCTCTGATGTTTATCCAGGGAGTAGAACACTCACCTGGCACCGTTTACTGGCAAAAATCTGACCTGTTTATTAACACTAACACTGCTTAAGGATTATTATTCAAGATTCAACATTTAGCCAGAATATATTTATTGAGTGCCACATCCCATGACATTATGACTTGAAAATTTTGAAGCCCTTCTTTTGACTATGTCTATAATTTGAAGACTCTAGACATTCTGGGTTGGAAAGGACCACTGGGATTATCTAGTGCCGTTTGCTCATTATATAGATGGGAAAAATTGACGTCTGCACAGGGAAATATCATTCCAATTTATAGTAAGGACTGACCCAGAGCTCAGTTGTCTTGACTTCTACCTTTCTTTAGTTTCACAAGTAATCTATGACTATTTCCCCTCTTCAAGAACTTAAAATATAACAGAAAGCTACATTCCCCCAGCTACCACCCTATTCTTAGCTCCCTTCCCAAAGGGATCCCTCAGTTTGGTTTATATCCTTCTATATCTTTCACTCTAAATATCATAAACATGCATACATACTACAAGCAAATACCTAGCATATTTGTAGGCTTTTAAAAACAGAAATGGTATGATACTATGTTATGCATATTATGCTATTCATAAATTCTTACAATGTGTTTCTTTCCCTCAACAACATACCTTGGAGATCTTTCCTTACCAGTATGCATAGGTCTGTCTCATTTTTTGTAATTCCTGCAAAAGGTGCCATGCTTCATTTAACTATAGTCTTCTTATTTCACTTTTAAGTGCTTTCTAGATATTTGCCATTAACATATCAGCCTTCAAAAAAACACACGTCCTTATCCACATGGATAAATAATTCTCTGGGTCAAAGCGCATTCGTGTTTTAAATTCGAATAGATATTGCCAAATCCTCCCAGTGTCCTTTCTGCTAGGGGACGCTGTATGACAGCAGAGACCAGGACCCCTGCATACCTGTCCCCATATTACTTGGCGCACAGTAGGGCCCAATAAATGAGCCTCTTAGATATTTCCAATTTGACTGAGAAAGAAGGTCACGCTCAAAACAGAAGAGAGGGAGAAAGCAGTCGTCTGCCAACAAAATAAAAGCATTCCCCGTATTATTTATAAGGGGACGTCAACTCAAGAGAAATACACCTGAAGCGTTATGATTTACAGCCCAGGAATCGTGCCGCTGCTGCTGATAAATGCAAATGCTTCTGGAGACAGAGACACTAAATTACCTTTGCGGCCCCCAGAGAGGGAGTGTGTGGGCTTGGTGGTGGCAGCAGTCACACTTTGTTCAGGAGTCTCTCTGAACATCCGGCCGCAGGTGGTCCCAGGACTGCCCTGGGGGTGGTGCGCTCACCTCGGACCCTGCCTTGTGCCGGGCCTCTCCTTCCCACCCTCCAGGGCCACTGCCCTGCGGAACAGAGTGTGCAAGCGACCGCACTCTCCCGGTTTCCTTCTTGTCCTCACAGTGCGCCAGGCTTCCCAAGCACGGTCCGAGCCCCATTTCTTTCCAGACTCTCACCCCCGGGCCCAACAGAACCCCAGCCGTGGCCACCCAGGCAGCGCTGCAGGGTCTGTCTGCTGACGGGCATTGCTGGACACAGCTGTACAGACTGCAGATGTCTTGTCTTGTCACTGCTCTCGTTTTACTGGGAAATTATTGCAAACCATCCTGACTTTCCTTCGGCCCCTCCTCACACCCTCAGGAGGCATCTCAACTCCTCTTTCATTCAAAGCAAAATAAGAAATGGCTTCAACGTCTGCTGTGATACCTCTAAATGCATTTCTATCTGGCCCCATCTTCCCTCTGGTCTCAGAAGACGAGGTCTGGTCCTGCCCTGTCTGAGCCTGGTTCATATCCAAGCCCTCTTTCCTCCTAACACACTCTTCTCCATGCAGGGTCCCCTCTCTCTCCCGTGTCCTCAACTTCCCTCGTGCCAGTTCTTCCCGCACAGGTGATAAACACCTTGAGGTCCTCCCCATGCTAATTCCATCCTCGCCCATCACCTTGCTGTCCTATTGAGTTATTACCTTTTCTTCCCTTTAGATCCAAGTTTATAAAAAGTGTCATCTGCGTGTACCATCTTCCCTTACATCACAAGTACACCTCTACTTACTACAGCCCAGAGCCTGTCCCCACCACTCCACTGAAACTTTTTCCACCACGTCAGGGGCTTCCAAAGAGAAATCGGGGGACATTCTCTAGTCTTTACCTATTTCTGGGCTTCCCCCTGCACCGGCTGCTGCTGAACACTTTTTGGAGCTCTCTTTGTAGCCTTGACAACATTTCTGCTCCTTAGTGCTCCTGAAACTTCTCTTTCCTGGTCTCTACCTGCCTGCCCCATGCCCTGGATGCTGGGGCTCCCAGGATGCTGTTCTCACCTGGCTGTTCCTCTCTGCACCCGATTGCAGTCAGTTCTGCTCTTGGGATTTTGAATCCCCAGCTATAAGCAGGTGACACCCACGTCTAGATTAACAGCTCTTACGTTCTCCCAAGTTTTAAACTTTTATGTCTTACCTAACTGCCTACACTGATCACCAACTGGATGTCTCTCTGATGTTTCAGCTCAGCGTATCCGAGAGGAAACTCATGCCTCCCCATCCACTCTGTGTTCCCAGGGTCACTGGGTGGTTCTGTCATTCACAAAGCCACCTAAGCTGGAGCCCTCGAGTCATCTGGGTTATCACCCCTCTCTCTCATCCCACATTCAACTGACTCAAACATCTTGTTTATTCTACCCCACCTTCTCCCCAAACACTCCTGACTTCACTCTGTCTACTTGCCTCCATTCCCACTGCCAGCACA